ACGGCCTTCAGGTACTGAGCCTTGCGCTTGTGGAAGCTGACCCCGTGCAGCATGTCGGCAAGGTCAGCGTCAGGGACACCCAAGATCGCACTCGCGCACAGGCCTCAGGGGGGCAACGTCTTGGGGGCGATACGGGGGCGACGTCGTTGCCAAAGGAAGGGGGGATGCATCGACACCCATTCACCCACTGATCGCTGACAGGGGCCCAGACATCTGGCCGCTCCAATCGTTTCGATGAGTGGGCCCTGGAGGTCTGAACCACTTCCCTAACTAAAGCCGGGCTTTTCGCTCTTCGCCCCGAATCGTTTTTGACGGCCCCGAGATCCGGCGAGAGCCCCCAAAGGCCGAAAACTGCCAAAAATCAGCCGTTAGGCCCTCATTCCTACTATGCGGGCCGAACTTCCGTATAATGGCCGAAAGTCCGTCCAAACGGCACTCTCGCCTCGGCGCGGGCAGCACACCGCCAGCGTCACCTGCACGTCGTGGCCAGTTTAAGAGCGAATCGAGAGGATGTCTCAGCAGAAACTGGCGCACTGAGAGAAACACTGGGTTCTAGCACCCATGGACCCTTTTATTTTGGAATCCTATGATCATCGCAGTGTAGCAGACGTGTCACCTGGGCACCCCCAAAGGGTAGCCGCTAGAGAACGCTCGGTCGCCGCAGACTAATACGCTCCAACTCAAGCACTCACAGCGGGACGTGCCCAAAAAACATAGGCGCACAGGATCCGCTTAGTTGGTTGATTGGTTGGATGGTTGTTTGGTTGGTTGGTTGGTTTGTCTGGTCGGCTCTGCACTCCCCGGGCTGCTCGGCTAGTCGGCGCGGAACCGAGTTGCAACTGGAGTTCGTTTCCAGCATGGCCCTGCGGCCCCCGCATCCCATGCAGCCCATGCTGGTGATATGGGCCATCTGGATCATGCAGCCGTTGCAGTTTTCGCACTTCACCGGGACCATGTGGAATGATCCGTTTCCGCGCGCCAGACAATTCGCCGTCCGCACGCAGGTGTCGCCCGTGTCGCTGCACTCCGTACGCTCTGCAGGAGCAACAGCGACAAGGGCGTCACAGCAGCGATTTGTTGTTATTTTGCACGGGGATTGTTTCGGTTTCTGGCCAGGCGGCGCCATGCAATACATTCCCACAAAACGATGGTTTTGCTCATGTTTCCGGCATTTGTACGGAAGTCCAGCCGGAATAGTAGCCGCCACGGGGGCCCAACGGCGACCCAAGAAATCCGCACGAACCTAGGACAGGTGCAATGTCTGCTGCCCTGACAAGAAGATGCAAGGCAGGTTGTTCAGAGAGCTTCTCCTTTGCAGTGGTGAAACATTGTTGTCGTAAATGTCCTGATCCGGTACCTCCACTCTATCACAACGCTTGTTAAACTGCAACTCAATATACGCCGTCATCTGGATCGGTTTGCGACGAAGCTGTAATATACGTCCTGCTGCTGCAAGTTGTCCCGCCTCATCTACAGTTACAAGCATGGCGTGCCATCCCATGATGTGCTATAATGTCTTAGAATTGCACTCACCAACGTAATGTGGCGCCACCAGGAAATTCGTGCCAAACGACGCGATACACATTCCATCAAGAAACGGTTTCAACTGCGCCGTTGTATTGTTCCCAGTTCCTGCGCCATATACTCCGCAAATAACTATATCGGTATCGTGCTAAATGACATCATTGAAATCTATGAAAATCAGAACCGTATCGTGCGAGTTCACCTGATGTAAGGGCCAACTCAACAACAGCACCATATGTGTAACAGTGCGCTCCTGTCTCACCCTGTCGCCCCTCCTGGTGTGCCTCGGCGGGAAGTACATCCCAATTAGAACAAGTTGAAGTGATCTATGCGTCCTCTTCCTCCTCCTCCTCATCCTACTCCTCCTCCTCCTCCTCCTCCTCTTCCTCCTCCTCATCCTGGAAGCCCTCAGGTCTCCCAATGAGGCCCCAAAAATCAAAAACGTCATCGACCCTCGATTCTCCCTTCTCCTCGATCCTCGATCTCCAGGAGCGCTCGTGACACTGATGACCCCTCCAAGTGGTGAACCCCCCTTGGCACTGCCCGCGCCCGACGCCGTCCTCGGACCTGGCGCCCTGGAGGCGCCTGGCGGAAGACAACCGATCTATCGGCGCCGTATCGCCGAATCCAGCTCGATGACTCCCCCCTGAGGTAAGTCCGTCGCCCCCTACGGTTGGCGTCGCAAAGATAGCGTGCAGCACCGATCTCGGAGAAAAAACACGCTAGGCCCCCAAATCGAGGCTTTCTTCCGAGCACGCTGTCTCTGCAGAGGGCGATCCGCCTGCGAGGGATTCTTCCGTGCACGGCACGGACCTGACAGTGCTTCGTCGGTGCACGCTGCCCCCAAGGTCGGGGACAGAGTGTATGCAATACAGTAGGGGCCCGACCACAAGAAACCTTCCTCAAGAAATCCAACCCTGAGACCCCAGCACGTCCATTGATTTTTTGGTGTGGGAACGTCACGCTTCCCACAGCAGAACCATCGGTGTGGGAAGCCCGGGGCACCCTCTGGAGGCAAGGCGCAGGGTGCTTCCTGGCATGGGTCTCCACGGTGAGCGGGCCGGCGGCGCCACGTCGCACGCTGCCTCTGCAACGCCAGCTGTGCTGCTCCCCCGCCACGGGCCTCCGCCCAGGCCGTCGAGGCGCTCCACGGCATCCGCCACGGCCTGGTCCTTCGTCTGGGCCGACAGGATCCTCAGGGGGCGTCCCAAGAGGGGGGCGTCCAAGCGGGGGGCGTTCAGGAGGGAGGGTCCAGAATCGCGGCCCGGGGTACGTGCGTGCGTGCGGCCTGGGAGGGGCCAGAGGACGCTTTGGGATAAGACGAGGGGGGCGCGAGATCCAGGGATTATATATATATATATATATATATACACATACATACCTATACCTATACGACCACCCTTCGGGTGATAAGGAGGTTCGGGGGGGAGGAACCAACGTCTCACTCGATCGGTCTCACTATCGATCTCACTATCGATCTCACGATCGGTCTCGCTCGATCGATCTCACTCGATCGATCTCACAATCGATCTCACTCGATCTATTTCATTCGATCGATCTGACAATCGATCTAACTATCGATCTCACAATCAAGCTCACTATCGATCTCACGATCGATCTCACGATCGATTTCACATTCGGTCAAATTATCGATCTCACAATCATCACCATCAACATCACCATCAACGTCATCAAAATCATCATCATCATCATCAGCATCATCGGGACACCATCATCATCATTACCTCATCACCGTCATGATTAACATCATCATCATCATCATCATCATCATCATCATCATCATCATCCTCATCATCATCATCATCATCATCATCATCATCATCATCGGGACACCACCATCGTCACCATCATCATCATCGTCATCATCATCATCATCATCATCATCATCATTATCATCAACATATATAATCATCCTTATCATCATCATCATCATCATCATCATCATCATCATCATCATCGGGACACCATCATCATCATCATCGGAACACCACCACCATCAGCATCTCATCATCATGATCATGAACAACATCATCATTATCATCAACATCATCAAAATCAGCATCATCATCATCGGGACACAATAATCATCATCATCATCATCATCATCATCATCATCATCATCATGATCAGCAGCAACATCATCATCATCAACATTATCATCATCGGGACACCATCATCATCACCATCATCATCACCATCATCATCATCATCGGGACACAATCATCATCATCAACATCAACATCAGCATCATCATCACCACCATTGGGCCACCATTATCAAAATCATCATCGTCACCTCGTCATCATCCTCATCATCAACATCATCATCGGGACACCATCATCGTCATCGTCATCATTATCATCATCATCGGGACACCATCATCATCATCATCATCATCATCATCATCATCATCATCAACAGCATCATCATCAACCTCATCATCATCAACATCATCATCTGGGCACCATCATCATCATCTTCATTATCATCATCATCATCAAATCATATGATCATCATCAACATCATCAGGATCATCAACATCATCATCATCATCATCATCATCATCATCATCATCATCATCGGGGCACCATCATCATCATCATCAGCAACATCATCATCATCATCATCGAGGCACCATCATCATCACCATCACCATCATCATCATCAACATAGTCAACATCATCATCATCGGGATACCATCATCATCATCATCACCAACATCATCATCGTCAACATCAACATCATCATCCTCATCATCAGCATCATCATCATCATCATCATCATCGTCATCATCATCATCATCATCATCATCATCATCATCATCATCATCATCATCATCATCATCATCATCATCATCATCATCATCGGGACACAGACGGGACACTAGCGGGACACCGGCGGGACACCGCGCGCCACCGGCCCCCGAACGGACACCGGCGGGACACCGCGGGGCACCGGTTGCAGGAACGGAGACTTTTGGTCCGGCCGCGCCTCAGCTACAGGAGACTTATTTCTCGCCCGCCCACGCAGCTTCGCCTCGCCCGCACGCACGGCACGCACGAACACGAAACCGAAACCGATTTCCCGGTAGGGGGGCTCTCCGTTCCACTTCGATCTCATCCCCTCACCTCCGATCATGGCCCCGGCCACGATGTCCACGCTCACCCCTCTTCGGTAAGTAGAGGCCTCCTAGATGGGGTCCGAGTAGATGGGGTCGGAGGTTCTCGCCGCATCGCCAATATATCGGCGATGCATCGGCGACGTCGGCGATGCATCGGCGACGTCTGCGTGGTGAAACACGGTCTCCACATCGAGCCGCATCGCCCATGCATCGGCGATGCGGCGGGATCCTCCGACCCTATCTACTCGAACCCCATCTAAGGGGCCTAGAGTAAGGGCCTCGAGCGACCTCCTCTTGATCTACCTGGAGTTACGTCGAGGTACCTCGATGTACCTGGATGTATCCGCATCTCCCTTGATTCATCTGGCTTGACCTCCATGAGTCGACTGACGAAAAGACATCACGCCCACCAGGACCCCCCTTGGCCGCCCCCGAGATCCCCGCCACCAGCACCCGGAAGGGCCTCGCGGCGGCTTGGCGGCCGCCGAGGGCACTGGGGCCGACGGTGTCCACCGGCGCAGCCGACATGAGGCCTCGGATCTCGCGCGCCACGGCGAGCACGTGCTCCCAGTCTTTTTGGCAGTGAGGGGGGAGAAGGGCCTGTCTCAAGACGAAGACGATGTGATGATACGATCGGCTCGGGATACATTATGGGAAGTCTGGAGCTTCTAGCGGCCCTCGGCCATTCGTCTCCGGCCGGTCAGATCTTTGTCGCGCACCAGTGCAACTCGCCACGGGAAGAAAGGGTCGAGCTGAACAGCTCGTTCCGTACTCGTGATTCGTTTCCGTTTTCTCTCGTTGTGTCTTCATTCTGCCTTTGCTGCGAAACGCACGATGCAATGATAACGGAAACTGCCCACGAGATCGCCGGAACGCCGCTCAGCTCTCGAGCCCTGGCAAGTGCCAGCTTCCCCACTGATGGGAAGGGGGCTCCACGATGCAGCAGCTGGCCCAGGAGGAAGGCGGAGCGGTTCTGGACGGGGCGGGCCCTGGGCGGAGCCCGGCGCCCCGTGCTGCGCAAGGCTCTGGTGGCCCCGGGGCCGGGGAGGAGGGCCCCGCTGAGCCCGAGCACGGCGAAGAGAAACCTGCTGGGCGTCGCTCCATGGGGGGCGATGCATGGGGGGGCGAGAGAAAGGTGCACTTCTCGGGCCCTGGAGGCCCCCTCTTCCGCGGCCCTCGCTGCCCCCCCCCACCCCCCCCGCATCGCCCCCCATTGCGCGACGCCCAAGACTTCCAGGACCACCCTCCTCCCGGGGCCCCCTCGTCCCCGCGAGTCCCCGAACGCCCCGAGACGGCCCCGAGCCCTCGGCCTGGGAGCCTCTCCCAGCGTGCGCTCTCTGGGCCGGCCTTCCGCGAGAGAGAGCCCGGGCCGGGGAGGGAGGAGGGAGGAGGGAGGAGGGAGGAGGGAGGAGGGAGGAGGGAGGAGGGAGGAGGGAGGAGGGAGGAGGAGGGAGGAGGGAGCCCCCACAGTAAGGGCAGGCGCAGGACGCCCGGCGGGACCCCCTCCCCCGGCCCCGAGCCGCGGGGCCCTCGAGCCCCCTGCGGGACCCCCTTGCGTTGTGGACGCCATGACACTGAACGCCCCAGCAGTCCGATCGTTGAATCATAGATGTGTGTTCCACCTGTCGGAGAGTGCTGCATAAATGCTCAAAGCATGCGTTTACATGTTTAGGACACGTAGAAAAAAAAAAAATATGCTTCAGGCATCTGAAAATCATTTGGCAGCGTGCTCCCTCTCCACTGGTCGCCGTCCACAACCCCTGCGCCGCCAGAGCATGTCGGTGTCCCGGGGCCTCGGGGAGCGGCGCGAGGGGGGCGCCTGCCCGTCCGCGCAGGCGGGCAGATGGCCACGCGGCCACCGCTCCTCGAGATCCGAGGCATCGCGCCCGCGGAGCGGTGGATGCGGACACCTCCCTGGAGGGCGGGTGCCCACGCCGCGGCTCCCCCCCCCCCCACGGACCTCTCCCGGGGTGGGCTCTGACCAGGATGTTTCCGGGAGGATCCAGGCGTGGCGACACGAGGCCTCTCCAGGACGAGGAGCGTCTTCGGTACCACTTCCTCCTGGGAACTCTGGCATCCCCAAGAGGACCCCGAGCCTCGAAACCCTCGAGCCCCCTTCGATGGTCAGAACGGTAGCGCCGACGTGTGACTGTCCGCCGAAGCCCTTCAATACGACGCCGCCGGCTTAGCGAAGGTCGACAGCGGTTGGACGCTCACTACCTGAGCATCGTTTAACCGATCCCTATCCCCACTGGCGTGGCCTGGGCCCCTCTGACCGATTTACCACCCTGGATGGAGATAAAATCGGTTCCCTTCGGATTTCGAGGGGCATATCCCCAACTGGGGTGGTGGGATGGTGGGGATCGGGATGGGGATGGGATAGGGATCGGCAAGCCGCGGGCCCTCACTGTCGGCAGAGCCGAAGAGGGTAACAAACACCCTTTGGCGCCGCGGTCTCGCGCGCAGCGTCGAGGCGTAGAACGCCCGAGGGAGCGAGAAGCGAAAGACGCGCGCGGCCGGCACATCACAAAACGGGACAGGGAGGGCAAGCACACCCTCAGGCTCATGTGGTTCCCATCACACTTACGGGCCACATCCCAGAAATATTTTAGAGCACCCAGAGAAGTATCAGAACAGTGTCTGCCCGGCAGGCTAGCGAAGTGTCGAACGAACATCGCCTCCCAGCGCCCGACACGAGAAAGACCTTCAATCCCGGCACTTGTTGGGTGGTCGAAAGTATTTCTGGTGGCCGAGGCAGAAGTAGGCTCAACATCATTATCTCTCGGGTTGCCACGGGTCCCGAGGACCATCGACCCCTCCCCCTCAGTGCCGAGCCTCTCGGCGGGCCCGCTGCGCCGACGGCCCGCGCGGCGCCAGCGGCCCGCGCGGCGCGCCGCGGCGCCGCCGCGCGCGGGCGCTCCCGCGGAGTTGGGCGCACGAGATGGGTACGGAAGAAAAGGTACCTGGGGGGCCACATGCGAACCCTACCCCTACCCCCCTCGATTTCTGAGGGGGAGGGTGGGGTTCACTTCAGCAATCGTGGGGGGCGGGGGTAGGGTTCGCATGTGGACCCCTAGGTACGAAATACCCGACAGTAAAGATTGTCCCAAACTGCCAGCAGCCGCAGCTGGGAAGGCGACCTCATTCTGCCTCGGGTGGGCAACGCCCGCGGCGACGCCGACAGCGAGTCTCGTTCAGAATGGGCGGGACTGGACTTCGGCCTTCGCACTCAGACAGGCGAGGGGGTTGCTGAGGGGGGGATCAGGGGCTTAAAAGCGGCTGCTGAGGGGATTATATCTGGCCCAGCCTAGCTTGTAAAAGGGTTGCGGGTGCCCTGTGTGGTTCGAGGGGTTTAGACAACTCCGTTACATGGACGGAGCACACTCAGCACAGATCGGTAATTAGTTGATCAACCCCCTAGGCCATGCAGGGCACCAGTAACACACTTATAAACTAGATGGCGCCGATTCATCGCCGACGTCGCCGATGTATCGTTAATGCATCGCCAATGCATCAGCGATGCATTGGCGATGCGGCGCGATCCTCCGACACAATCTACTCGGACCCCATCTAGGAGGCCTATATGCAAGTATCCAGGGGCGAGGATGGTCCATGCCTTCGGCGAGGCTCCTGGGCGAAAACGTGCAATGCCCGCCCCTGGACTATTCCCCAGGGCAGGCACTGCCGCCGCCGCCGTCATCGCCGACGTCGTCGTCGTCCTCTCCGTTGTCGTCGTCGTCGCCGTCGCCGTCGTCGTCGTCGCCACCGTCGTCGTCGTCGTCGGCGCCGGCGTCGTCGTCGTCGCCACCGATTCTTCCCGTACCCACCTCCTGGCATCGCTCGGACGTGTGCATTTTTTTCTCGGCGAGAACCATCGATGACCACCCTGGGCAATCGAGCAAAAAAAGCACGCGCGAAACCGAAAAATGCACGGGAAATGGACGTCCGAGCGACGCATAGGATCTTTAATACATTGGATGTTTAATACATGATTGATGTATGAATAAAATGATGCATGAACTCATTGTTGTTTAATTCTGTATCCCTGCAGCTTTAACACATGGTCCGCACGCGGAGCATGTATTGAAAACGGCACTGTACCCGCCTCGATCGTGCCCGACGGAGGTCGCAGGCTCGGCGGGGCGCTGGCGCGGAGGCCGCGGGCGGGGGCGGCCGCGCGGGGCGGTGGCGCGGCACGGCGCAGCGGGGCGGCGAGGGCGCCGGCGAGGCACGCCGCGGCGAGCGCGGGCGGGGGCCTCCGCGCGCGCATGGCGGGCAGGGGCGGCCGCGGCCGCTGCTGCGGGGCGGCGCGGGCCAGGAAGGCTCGTCGTCGTCGTCGTCGTCGTCGTCGTCGTCGTCGTCGTCGTCGTCGTCGTCGTCGTCGAGTCGTCGCCGTCGTCGTCGCCGTCGCCGTCGTCGTCGTTGTCGTCGTAGTCGTCGTCGTCGTCGTCGTCGAACGGGGAGAAGGAGGAGGAGGAGGAGGTGGAGGAGGAGGAGGAGGTGGAGGAGGAGGAGGAGGAGGTGAGGGAGGGCTAGGTGGAAGGGAGGGGGCGGCGGAGGAGGGGATGGCTGCGTCAGTACCGACCCTGGAGCCACGAGCCTGAGGAGGAGGAGGAGGAGGAGGAGGACGAAGAAGAGGAGGACAACGGAGCCACGAAGGGCAGCGAGGGGGCCACGAGGGGCTGCGAGGGAGCCGCGAAGGACAGCGAGGGGGCCACGAAGGGCTGCAACGGGGCCACGAGGGGCAGCGAGGGGGCCACGAAGGGCTGCAACGGGGCCACGAAGGGCAGCGAGAGAGCCACGAAGGGCTGCAACGGGGCCACGAAGGGCAGCGAGGGGGTTACCAAGGGCTGCAACGGGTCCACGAAGGGCAGCGAGGAGGCCACGAAGGGCTGCAACGGGGCCACGAAGGGCAGCGAGATCCCGATTCCTACGTCATCTGTCAGGGAGTCCTAAGCGTGAGCGCGACTCCTGGGTGCCTGCGTGTCGGAAGCGCGGCGATTGAGTAAATTGCGCGAAAACCCAACGCAATGGCGCTATTCTTGAGTAAACTGCAAGCAAGTCTCCAGCGTGAGCGCGACTCCAGAGCGCCGAGAAAGCGATTCCTGAATAAATTATAAGGAAGTCCCAAGCGAGAGCGCGATGCTTGAATCAAATGCGAAGAAGTCTCCAGCGGAAGCGGGGGTCCTGGCTAAAGCGTGAGGAAGTCTCAGGCGGGAGCCGTTGTTGGTGTAACCCAGGGGCCAACAACACAGCTTGAGGACGAAGACTTTCCCTGATAAAAAACAAGGTGCGAGAGAGTGCCACTTGAATTGACAATGTGCACCAGAGGGGCGATCAACAATAATAACTCTTCAGTGATGAGAACTCAGAAAATAAAAATAAAAAAACAACAACAACAACAACAACAACAACAACAACAACAGCAGCAGCAGCAGCAGCAGCAGCAACAACAACAACAACCACAACGACAACAATAACAACACCAACAACAACAACCACAACAACAACAACAACAACAACAACAA